AGTTTGTAAGGCTACCACACAGGCCCCTTCTGCGCTTGTCAGGTTAGTATTTGGCCCCTTTTTTATTCACAGAGGGGAGTGATTAACAAAAGAAAAAAGAATTACTTTTAGACCAAGACACCTTTTATAGGTGGTGGGGGAGGGGGAGGCAGGTTATCATGCACATCGCCTCTTCCTCCCACTGGTGGTGGGAGGGGGACAGATGAGAGGGCCCACGTGACACATGATCTCATCGATTTTAACTTGAAAATTCCTGACGGTTGATTAAAATTACATTTCTGGTGATGAAGATCAAAACCGTGATTAGGCCAGGTATTATGTCTAGATTCGATATGGGCTTTAGCACTGGTGACGCCATCTGGGGCCTGTGGTTTTCTCTTTAACACCTTAAAGGCAGGATGATTCTAAATCACCTTCTCAGCACTGAAGGATGCACCAAAGCAGTTTCGTCTCCCTGTAGAAGCCTCTACAGGAGATTACCTAAGTGCCTGAAGAGGCCAGCCTTCCTTGCAATTATCTAAAAGGAGATATCAGCTGATGTTAACACGGCATCCTTTCTGCTACCTACATTCAATCATTTCATTGTGAGATAGATACGAGTGGTTTGTTGTTGCTTTGTTCTTAGTGTCCATTAAATGGTGGTTTGATTAGAAATTAGAAATTAATGGCATTTTGTAATCGAGGTGAGGTAACCCCATCCCTAAATTTTGCTCAACTCCATGGTGCAGCCTCCTGCTCAGCTCAGAGGCCCTTCTAAATCCCCCAAACCTCCCGCTGAACGCCAGCACAGGCTGCTCTACCTCAGCTTGGTAGAGCCGGCGCTGGCACATGCTGCCGTTTTACACAACTGTGCCCTCCAGACTGGGTTTCCCTTCTTTGCACTCCCACAAAGACTAAGGTCAAGTGCTCCCAAATCATGTTTCCAAAATGATCTTCCAAATGGATGCCTAGGGTATCCAAACACCCTCCAACTGGAGGGATTGTAACCACAGAAGCAGGTCAAAAGGGTCCTATCCTGTTTAATAAGATACTGAATTGTTTTTCAACCAAGACTGAAAGTTATGCAGCTGAGGTGTGTGCAGAGGAGAGAACTTTGGCCTCGAGCTGCACCCAGAACCAAAGTCTCACCCTGCACCTCCCCCCACCACCAAGGAACCAAACCGAAGGACCAGGACATCACTGGAATTTATGGAACCCTTAAGGGTTCCAATAACCAGAACCCTTTCAGAAGCCAAGAGTCCATTGTCCAAGAAAATCCAGTGTTGGCACCCCTTTATCATAAATGGCCAAGTTCCAAGTTTCTTCTATTAAAATGCCTCACCAGCACTTACACATACCTGTTCTCTATCAGTAAAAGCTTTGGCCACACTCCAAACACTGACGTTTTGAGTTTTGGTCTTTCAAAGTATCAGGCACACACACTTCGGTCCATAACATCACCTGTCATTTACTCCACATGCCACACTCCAGCAAAGCCAGACTTCTCACTGTAAAAACTGAAGCACACACTTTAATCCATTTAGCTTTTTGAAAAATGAAGGTGAGGCCTTGATTTACTGAGGTTTGCCTACGCTATTCTATAATGCCAAGAAATTATTAGGCCTGTAGCAGCCTTGTACTTCGTGTTTTGTGTCTGGGCCATTCCTATCTTGGCTGGAGAGCTAAGAGTGGAATTTTAACTATGAATTTCCTTGTGTTTAACAGGCTAAAGTCAAAAGGCCACATTCTACATCAGATTTGCATGAACAACTTCCACTGGAATTACTCCTGTATGTATATCTCAGGCATTATTAAATAACATTCTTTTTTTTAAATCTTTTTAATGTGCATGTGAGAGAGTGAAACAGCATGTGTAAATTAATTTAAAAAATTTACTCAGTTTGAGGAAATGTTTTGTTTAAGAGGGCACAAAGCCATCCTGATCATCAAATCTATCTTTATGTACACCAACCACTGAGCTTCTCCAAGCATGTCCTGGAGGCCTCATTAGCTTGGACCTCTCTGGTTATTTATGGGGCAGCTGTGGTGCGTGGAGTACACAGCAGGCCTGGACCCAGAAGAAGCAAAATCAAGTTCCTGCTCTGATAATCTTTCCCTGTATCTTTTTGTCTATAAACTGTTGACTTTTGCAAGGTTACTGTGTAAATTCAGTAGATAATGGGTGTTGATTTTGTATTTTGACTGTTACATAAGAAAAAATGGAAACCAAAAAAAAGCCTAGTATTTTTAATATTTATTTATTTATTTATTTTTACAGAGAGGAAGGGAGGAAGAAAGAGAGGGAGAGAAACATCGATGTGTGGTTGCCTTTCATATGCCCCCTACTGGGGACCTGGCCCGCAACCCAGGCATGTGCCCTGACTGGGAATCAAACTGGCGACCCTTTGGTTTGAAGGCCAGCACTCAATCCACTGAGCCACACCAGCCAGGGCACAAAAGCCTAATATTGATGGAGATAGTAAGGAGAAACTTATAGTCTAACGATGGCAGTTTGAGTATAAATCAATATAACTCCTTTAGAAAGCAATTGCAATGCATATTGATAATGATAAGTACTTAAAATTGTCTTCTTTTATTTAATAATTCTACATATAAGAATTTGTCATAGGAAAAAATAGTAAGGGGAACCTCTTTGAGTAGTGATTTTATTCATAGCATTTTTTTTGTCATGGAAAAACAAATGGAAACAATCTAAATTTTAAGCAAATAAGAAAATGTTTCAGTACATTATTACATGCTTATATAATGCTTAGATTAAATTCTTTTAATGTTAAGTGAATAAAAGTGGGTTCAAAATACATATTCTGTATAATTACAACTTTGTACTGAAAAAAACACAAAAAACCAACATTAACATTTAAAGGAATTGAAAGGAAGTAGACCAAAAGTTTCAACAATAATAGGTAAGAGAAAACCAGAAGATACTTTGGATAAAAGCACTATGTGAAGTTTTTCCCCTATTTGCATTTTCTAATACTTTATGCATAGATGACACTTTATAGTAATGAAGTTTTTTAAAGTGTTATACCTTAGTTCCTAGTTAACTAGAACATTCTGTTCAACTGACTTTTCAACTAATCAAAGCTTTACCTTAATTAGCTCTGCAAAATAGTTTTGAGATATTTTTTCCAGTGGTTTATTCTTATTGTTCCATCCAACTATCTGTAAGATCATAGACATTCAGGAACTAGCATGTTTGGCATTTGGTCAAACAGCAAATCTTAGACTTAGCCATCGAGTGTTACAAGGCGCAGCATCAAAGGAATTTTCCAATGTTGTTCCCTGAATACAGCCTGACCCACGTCATTTGATCCTCAGGAATGCTGGAGAGTGAGCAGCAGCGGGTGATGGATGCCCATGGCAGGGGAGCCAATGTATATATTTCCATCAACAGAAGCGTAGATGCCAGCCAACCCAGCGAGGGGTGGCATGCTGTAAATGTAGACAGCAGTTTCAAAGGGAAACTTGCCGGCATTTCATAGTGAATTGTACATAAGAAGGGGGGTACAATGAGTCAAACCTCATTAGTTTACAGAAATACAGCAAAACATTCAAAAATAGGTAACTACATGCATACCTGATTCTTTAACCCACTAGAAGTAACTTTTATTGCCTTCAGACGAAAGCTAACTTTCATGGGTGGCTTTTTGGTGATTATATAAAATATCATTTTGTGTTCCTAGCAGGTCTGCAGGCCTTGCTGTCCAGCTCACTCGAGAGCAGAGCACCACACTCAGCACCCAGTGGAGCCGTCCCTATTGGAAACAGAAGATAGTCTGTGTTATGGCAACACTTAAAGGAAATAAATTTGGCAGAAAATGAATAATATCTCTATGGCAGAAATCGAGTCCATTTTTGAATTTCAAAAAGAAGTGTTTCCTCACATCTGAGTTCACTTAAAGAGCAAAAGAGCAATCATGCACCACAATTGCAGGGAATGAAAAGCCCCTTGAGGGTTTATGCAATTACAAGTTAGAAATGAAAGTCGGTTTAAAAATCTTCTAATACTTTACCACACACAAGACATATGTTCTTTATGGATAAGGAGACAGTTCAGAGAGGTTAGGAATTTTTCTGATATCACACAGCCAGTAAATGGTGGAGTCAGGATTCAGACCCAGGCCTCTTGGCTTCTTGCTCTTGCTTCTATACTACTCAAGTACCACAGGGCTACCAAACCTCCACCAGTGCTGTTTGTCAGACATTCAGGGATCAGTGTAGCATGACCTTGGGCAAGTCAACTAATCTCTCTGAACCTCAGGCTCATCTATAAAGAAAGATCACAAACCCAACCCCACAACATGGTGGTAAGAATTAAATGAGACCATGCACCTCACATGCTGAGCAGAGGTCCTGGCACACCACCGAAATCCAACGGACAGTGTCAACTGTCACTACCCCACCACTTCCTTGAAGGCAGGCTGAAATTCATGAACTTGCAGCCTCAGCCTGGAAGAGTGTGATTCCAACACTTCATTCTGCTTCACAAAAGCTCTGTGGATGTCTGTCCTCAGCTGTGCTGAACCAAGATAAATCAAATCCAATCTGCACCATTTAGTGCTTGGCACCATTTTTAATACAAATCTCATCAGTTTTTATTTTCATTTTCTAGTTTACCCAAACAAGCCATTTTTATAGCCTTGTGACTTTAAACCAAAGCTGCCAATAGAATAGACTTATACTGAAAACATCGGGATCCTTCTGAAGGAATGTAAATATAAGCACCCACGATACAGGAAAATTTGATAAGAGTTTGGTCATTGACTTGGATGCCAGCTCAGCTCTAAACTTGCCTGGTACTATTTTGGGGTATTAAAATCTATACGTGCTTAATATCTCAGCAGCCCTGCTATCCATTAGGTTTGAATGCCCTTTATGGAATGAACTTGATCCTCCCGCCTTACTTTTGGTCTCTCTCCAGAGAAGCTAATGCGCTGGCATAGTTCTGCCATTTGTCAGCCAGAAGTCTGGTTACACATTTGCTCGTCAATCTAAACCTAACCTATTCTCATACAGGCACTTGGGGTTTCATGTAAATCAACCAGACGTTCTGTCATTCACCGGCAATATCCCTCCATAGTATTCTACACCCATGTGCCTTCATGAAATATTTCACTATGTTTGTGGAAGAAATATTCAAATGAATGTGCTTTTTCAGGAATGGTGACACCAGAATGTTATAAATCCGTTCATTACCACAACAAGGATAAATGGTATTTCTGCCAAAGACTTTTGATAGCCGGTACAGTAATGAATCTCAGCACTTTCTGAAATTAAAGGTCTGCCCTGAGAGGTAAGTAGTATCATGCATGACTAACAAAACGCAAACCCAAACTTTGGAGCTAAGCTTTCCTTGTCAGTGTAATTGATCGTTTCCGACAGCATACTGCCTTAGGAAGTTCATAATGTTATTTCTACTCTCCTGATACTAACGTCCAGGTAAGGCTGACCCCACTGTTTGTAAAAGAGCAGGTCCTTATTAACTTAGCATGTTTCATTGTGATTTTTCTTACATGTGAATTCACACACACTATAACAGTTGTACTTTAAATGTCGGCTACAGTATTAAGGATAATATTTCATAGAATTATCAGTTCATCTTCCAGTGAAATATTTTAATATTTAGTTGAATAGTCTCCTAAGAAGCCTTTTAAGATATCTGTTTTTTGATTATAGTGGTTGATTGTTCATTTCTTTTAGGTAGGTGATTTAGCTCTAGCCTTTACTACCTCTTTCAGTATTTTCAAAAGGCACAAAGCGAATAAGGAATTGAGAATTTAAACAAAAGAAATAAATATCAGTTCTCATTGATGTGTGTGTGACACTAAGTCAGTTAACTTCAGTGTTTCTGGATTGTAAAATGATGTTTTAATATAGAGCTAATTCATGAGAACTATGGAGAAAGTAAAGAGGGGATGATTCCAAGCTAACACATCTACAAAAAGTGCATTTTATTCCTTCAAGTGTCTGGAAATCCCTGCTATCATACTATTCACTTTGAGCATGGAAGTATGATTATCAGTGCTGCAAAAAGAAAAATCCAATATCTGTGAAAGGTTATTAATCCAAATACTGTGTCTTCTAATATTAAAGACTCACTGATACAGCTATATCATATTGGCTCTCAAAAATGCCTAAAATGAGCAGAATATAGATTCCAGTCAGAGAGTGATGATTTGCGATTCTGAACAGGCTCAGCAGATCATAAAATTTTTCAGTACTGGATTTCAGACATTAAGGCATTTGGTCATAGTATAAAGATTAGTATATACTTATGCACAGTTCTGTGCCTTAGTGCAATTCAGAAATGCTTTCCTCCTCTTCATTCCTGTTCATTCTTGTGGTGGCCTTTTTCCTCTATCTGACTTCCTCCCTCTAGTGTTTACTGGATGAAGCACAGGAACTAAAGCTCCATTTACAAACAAAAAACATTATTACAACTCTGTTTTCCCCAGTTACCATATACTATAGCAAACTTACCACCGGATGTTTTGACATGAATTCTAAGTGACTGAGATAGTTTTTTATCTGAGAGTGTCAAAGTTAGATTTTCATATTCCAACTTCAGATCCCAAGAGGGGTCATTGACTTCTTCTGCTGTTCAGGTTATACTCCTTCTCTGCCTTTGAATCCTTATGTTCTACTTGCCTTTATTATGATATACAAAGGGGGCAAAGATTAATGAAATAAGCACGCAAACAGACAGTTCTTTGGCATATTTTTCAGAGGTAGAACTTATACTTTGAATCTTCTAGGTTACCCAAGAGGTTCATGAGATTTTGACTCAAAAGAAAAGTGATTAATTTTTAATAGCCTTACAAACACTATTGGCTTATTTTCCTCCACAAAAGTCCTTAGTCAAACTAGGAATAGTATTGCTTATGGGCACTTTTTAGAGAGAAGAAAATATACTTTCGTTGTTCGCTGCCATTGCTGCTACTTTGAAAACAGAGCACAGCTGATTGTGAGAGCTAACTATAGACCAAGGTCATCTGAGGATCCACACAGCCGGCTCACAGGGATGGCAGCCACACCTTGCCAGAGCACATAGGTCTGCCAATCCAGCCAACCCAGCCCAGGGGCTATTTTCAACTGGAGTTCCAGCAGAAAAGGCCCTCAACTGTCCTTCATGCTGCTGGCATTTGATTTTACACCTAACCATTCCGAACCATAATTTTCTCTATATTGACTTCTTCTCTCCATCACAACATCATAGGAGGCCCTTTTCGAGACCCTCATATGAGGTTGATAAATGTCAAAGTAAAATATTAAAACTCATCTTTTGCTTAACAAGAAAAGCTCATCCACATATATAGCTCTACTACATCAAATTACTTCAATCAAGAGCCTGAGCTGCAAACCTCAGGCTTATTTAGCTTCCTTCCACACTGCAGTCCTCCACCAACCTCCAGTCTTGGCCAGGTCTCATCCATTCAGATGCCTAAGGACCTGGTGTTGATTCTTTCCTTGTCCACATCCACTGTCATTACATTTCATCCACTTTTGCCTAGACCACCGGAATAACTTACCAGGCAATCTCTGCCTCCAATTCACCAACATTCCGCCATCAGTTATGTTTCAAAATTACAAATCAGAATGCATTGCTCTTCTGTTTTAAATTCTGCCATGGTTCCCCACAACATAAATTTCAAACTCCCTACCCTGGCAGTCAAAATTCTTCAAGATCTATTCTGTTCTCTATTCTGTTCCATTGATCTATGTGTCTGTTGTGCCAGTACCAGACTGTTTTGATTCAGTGGCCTTGTAGTAAAGTTTGATATTAGGTATTGTGGTCCCTTCAACTTTGTTCTTCTTTCTCAAGATTGCTGAGGCTATGTAGGGTTTTTTTTATTCCATATAAATTTTTGAAATATTTGTTCTAGATCTGTGAAATATACTATTGCTATTTTAATAGAAATTACATTGAATCTATAGATTACTTTGGGTAGTATGGACATTTCAATGATGTTAATTCTTCTAATCCATAAACACAGTACATGCTTCCATTTACTTCTGTATTTCTTAATTTCTTTTTTCAGTGTTCCATAGTTTTCCAAGTTCAGGTCTTTTACCTCTTTAGTTAAATTTACTCCTGGGTACTTTATGTTTTCTTGTTGTTATAAATAACTGGGATTTTTTCCTAGTTTCTCTTTCTGATATTTCATTGTTTGTGCACAAAAATGCCATTGATTTCTGAATATTGACTTTGTATCCTGCTATTTTGCCAAATTCACTTTTTAGGTCTAGTAGTTTTTTGGTGGAGCCTACAGAGTTTTCTATGTACACCATCATGTCATCTGTGAATAATGACAGTTTACTTCCTCCTTTCCAATTTGGATACATTTTATTTTCTTTTCTTGTCTGATCACAATGGCTAGAACTTCCAATGCTATGTTGACTAAGAATGGTGAAAACAGACACACTTGTCTTGTTCCTGATCTTCAGTGGAAAGCTTTTAGGTTTTGCCTGTTCTCTTATATGGTTTTTATTATGTTGAGGCATGTTCTCTCTATTCCCACTTTGCTGAGTGTTTTTTATCATAAATGGGTGCTAGATTTTATCAAATGCTTTTTCAGCATCTATTGATATGATCATGTGTTTTTTGTCCTTCGTTTTGTTTATGTGATGTATTATAATTATTGATTTGCAACATCCTTGGTATTGCACCATCCTTGGCACCACCAATGGTGGTATTGTTCCATCCTTGCATCCCTGGGATGAATTCCACTTGATCATAGTGTAGAATCCTCTTAATGTATTTTGAATCCAGATTGCCAATATTTTGTTGAGGATTTTAGCATCTGTGTTAATCAGAGATATTGGCTTGTAGTGTTTTTTTCTTTGTGTGTCTTTATCTGGCTTTGGAATTAGGGTGATAATGGCCTCATAAAAAGAGTTTGGGAGTCTTCCTTCTTCTTGGATTTTTTTGGAATATTTTGAGAAGAATAGGAGTTTATTCTTCCTTAAATGTTTGGTAAAATTCACCTGTGAAGCCATTCTGTCCAGGGCTTTTTTGTGCAGGGAGTTTTTTGATTACTGCTTCGATTTTGTCAGCTATTTTCGGTCTATTTGGGCTTTCTGCTTCTTCATTCAGTTTTGGAAGATTATTATTTTCTAGAAATTTTTCCACTTCACCCAGGTTTTCAATTTCTTGGCATATAGTTGTTTGTAGTAATTTCTTATAATTCTTTGTATTTCTGTGGTATTGCTGTAACTTCTCTTTCATTTCTGATTTTATTTATTTGGGTCCTCTTTCTTTTTTCTTCATGAGTCTGGTTAAAGGTTTGTCAGTTTTGCATATCTTTTCAAAGAACAAGCTCCTGAATTTATTTATCTTTTGAATTTTTCTTTTAGTCTCTATGTCATTTAATTCTGCTCTGATGTTGATTATTTCCTTCCTTCTACTAGGTCTGGGCTTTGTTTACTGTTGTTCTTCTAGTACTTGTACATGTAGGGTTAGGTTGTTTATTTGAGATTTTACTATCTTCTTTAGGTATTGCTACGAACTTCCCTCTCAATACTGCCTTGTTGTATCCCGTAGATTTTGGGTTGTTATGTATTCATTTTCATTTGTTTCCAGATACTTTTTGATTTCTTCCATGATCTCATTGTTGACCCATTCATTTAATAACATGTTATTGAGTCTCCATGTATATGAATGTTTTTGAGTTTTTTTCTTGAGATTGGTTTCTAATTTAAGCCATTATGATCTGAGCACATGCTTGATATGATCTCAATTTTCTTAAATTTGTTGAGGCTTCGTTTTGTGTCCTACCATATGGTCTCGCTTTGAAAATGTTCCATGTCCATTTGAAAAGAATGTGTATTTTGCTTCTTTGGGTGAAAGGTTATACACACACACACACACACACACATATATATACATCAATTAAGTTCATTTGATTTAGAGTGTCTTTCAGCATCAAAAATACCCTTGTTGGTTCTTTTTTTCAGTGTCAAAAATATCCTTGTTGATTCTTTGTTTTGAAGATATATTCATTGTTGACAGTGGCATGTTAAAATCCCCTATATGACTGTGTTGTTGTCAATATCTTTCTTAAAGACCTCTAAGATTTGATTTATTTTCTTTTCAGGATCTTATTTATTTATTTTTAGAGAGGGGAAGGGAGGGAGAGAAACATCATTATGTGGTTGCCTCCCATGAGCCCCCTAGTAGGGACCTGGCCTGCAACTCAGGCATGTGCCTTGACTAGGAATCGAACCAGTGACCTTTGGTTTGCAGGCTGGCATTCCATCTACTTGGCCACACCAGCCAGGGCTCCAAAATTTTTT